CATCCATCCATCCATCCATCCATCCATCCATCCATCCCTCCATCCATCCATCCATCCATCCATCCATCCATCCATCCATCCATCCATCCATCCATCCATTATCTTCTGCGTATTCCGAAGTCGGGTCACGGGGGCAGCAGCTTGAGCAGGGAGGCCCAGACATCTCTTTCCACAACCACCTCTTCCAGCTCTTCTGGGAGGATTCCAAGGCGTTCCCAGGCCAACCGAAAGACATAGTCTCTCCAGCCTGTCCTGGGTCTTCCCTGGGGTGTCCTCCCAGTTGGACATGCCCGAAGCACCTCTCTAGGGAGGTGCCATGGGGGCATCCTTACCAGATGCCCTAACCACCTCAATTGGCTCCTCTCGACGTGGAGGAGTAGCGGTTCTACTCCGAGTCCTTCCTGGATAACTGAACTTCTCACCCTATCTATAAGGGAGATTGCAGCTACCCTGCTGAGAAAACTCATTTCAACCGCCTATATCCGCAATCTCATTCTTTCGGTCACTACCCAGAGCTCATGACCATAGGTGAGGGTAGGAACGTAGACCGACCGGTAAACAGAGAGCTTTGCCTCACAGCTTAGCTCTCTCTTCACCACAACGGACTGGTACAGAGTCCGCAATACTGCAGATGCTGCACCAATCCGTTTGTCAACCTCACACTCCATTCTTCTTTCACTCGTGAACAAACCCCCGAGAGACTTGAACTCCTCCACTTGAGGCAGAACCTCACCCTCGACCTAAAGAGAGAAATCCACCCATTTCCGGTTGAGGACCACGGCCTCAGATTTGGAGGTGCTGTTTCTCATTCCAGCCGCTTCACATTCGGCTGCAAACCGCTCCAGTGAGAGCTGAAGATCACGTCATGATGACGCCAACAGGACCACATCATCTGCAAAGAGCAGAGATGGAATCCTGAGGCCACCGAACCAGAAACCCTCCGCCAGCTGGCTGTACCAAGAAATTCTGTCCATAAAAGCTATGAACAGAAGCTGTGACAATGGGCAGCCCTGGCGGAGTCCAACTCCCACTCTGAAGGGGTCTGACTTACTGCCGGCAATGCCAACCAAACTCTCGCACCGCTTGTATAGGGACTGAACAGCCCGTAACAACGGGCCTCCAATCCCATACTCACGGAGCACAGTGTACGCTGAGGAACACGGTTGAATGTCTTCTCCAAGTCAACAAAACACATGTAGACTGGATGGGCAAACTCCCACGACCCCTCAAGGACCCTAGTGAGGGTAAAGAGCTGATCCAGTGTTCCACGGCCAGGACGGAATCCACATTGTTCTTCTTGGATCTGAGGTTCGACCAACGATCGGACTCGCTTTTCCAGTACCCCTGAATAGACCTTACCAGTGAGGCTAAGGAGAGTGATGCCCCTATAATTGGAGCACACCCTCCGGTTCCCCTTTTTGAAGAGGGGAACCACCACCCCAGTCTGCCAGTCCAGTGGCACTGCCCCCGATGTCCACGTGATGTTGCAAAGGTGTGTCAGCCAAGACAGCCCCACAACATCCAGAGCCTTCAGGAAATCAGAGTGAATTTCATCCACTCCCGGAGCCCTACCGACTTGGAGCTTTATAATTACCTCGGCGACCTCAGCCACGGTGATGGACAGATCAACCCCAAAGTCCCCCGACTCAGCTTCCTCCATGGAAGATGTGCTGGTGGGATTGAGAATGTCAGAGAAGTATTCCTTCCACCTCCTGAAAACATCACTGGTTGAGGTCAACAGCACCCCACCTTCACTGAAAACAGTGTTAGCAAAGTGCTGCTTTCCCCTCCTCAGCCACCTGATGGTTTGCCAGAATCTCCTCGGAGCCGACCGAGAGTCTCTATCCAAGGTCTCACCGAACTCCTCCCACATCCAAGCTTTTGCCTCAGCAACAGCAAAGGCTGCACACCACTTGGCCCTCCGGTACTCCTCAGCTGCCTCCAGAGTCCCACTGGCCAACAAGGCCCAATAGGACTCCTTCTTCAGCTTGACAGCTACCCTAACCCAGGGTGCCCACCACCGAGTTCGTGGATGACCACCGCGAGAAGCACTGACAACCTTGTGGCCACAGGTCAAGGCAGCTACCTCAACAAGCCAGGTGTGGAACATGGCCCACTCAGACTCAATGTCCCCCACCTCAGCTGGGATGCAGTTAAAGCTCTCCCGGAGGTGTGAGTTGAAGATCTCTCTGACGGGTTCTTCTGCCAGGCATTCCCAGCAAACTCTCACTACATGTATGGGTCTACCGGGTCTGTCCGGCATCTTCCCCCGCCATCTGATCCAACTCACTACCAGGTAGTGATCAGTTGACAGTTCAGCTCCTCTCTTTACTTGAGTGTCCAAAACAAACGGCCACAAATCAGATGACACGACTATGAAGTCAATCATCGATCTACGACCTAGGACGTCCTGGTGCCAAGTGCACTTATGGACACCCTTATTTTCGAACATGGTGTTCGTGATGGACAAACTATGACTAGCACAGAAGTCCAACAACAGAACACTGCTCGGGTTCAGATCAGAGAGACCGTTCCTTCCAATCACGCCCCTCCAGATCACACTGTCATTACCCACATGGGCATTGAAGTCCCACAGCAGAATAAATGAGTCCCCAGCTGGTGCACCTTCCAGCACCCCTGCCAAGGACTCCAAGAAGGTTGGATACTCTGAACTGCAGTTCGGTGCATAGGCACAAACCACAGTCAGAGCCCATCCCCCCACCCGAAGGCGAAGGGAAGCCACCCTCTCATCTACCGGGGAAAACTCTAATACACAGTCACCAAGTCGGGGGGCTACAAGTAGACCCACACCAGCTCGACGCCTCTCACCATGAGCAACTCCAGAGTGGAATAAGGTTCAATCCTTCTCAAGGAGATCAGTTCCAGAGCCCATGCTGTGCATCGAGGTGAGCCCAACTATATCTAGTCGGTACCTCTCAACCTCGCGCACAAGCTCAAGCTCCTTCCCTGCCAGAGAGGTTACATTCCATGTCCCAAGAGCTAGCTTTGGTAAGCCAGGATCAGAGCGCCAAGGTCCCCGCCTTCGGCCACTGCCCATAGCATCATGCACCCGACTTTTATGGCCCTTGTTGCAGGTGGTGGGTCCACAGGAAGGCAAACCCATGCTGCTCCTTCGGGCTGAGCCCGACCGGACCCCATGGGCAGAGACCCAGTCACCAGGCGCTCGCCGATTTGCCCCTCCCCCAGGCCTGGCTCCAGGGTGGGGCCCCGGTAACCCACGTCCATGCAAGGGACACTGAGGTCCTTGTTTTGTTTTGTCCATAAAAATATTTTGAATCGCTCTTTGTTTGGCCTGTCACCTAAGACCAATCTGCCTTGGGAGACTTTACCAGGTGCAATTATACTGTATTTGCCCCTGACAGCATAGCTCCTAGGATCATTCAGGTGCACAAACTCCTCCACCACGATGAAGTGGTGATTCAAGAAGAATTTATCATTTCATCAATTCAATAAAAAAATATAAATTAACATTTCATCAATTCAATTTTATTTCATTATCTATTATAGATTTTTAAAAGATTCTTCTTAAAATTAACATGATTAGTAATTAATGTAATTACAGAATGTAATGTTCCAATGTTCCAATAAGAAATTGCTCTATACACAGTTGTTCTTCTGACAGCATTAGTTCTAGGCAGAGGTATAAAAGTAACAACAGAGGCACGTCTAGTATTAAAAGCGTCTATTGCAGGTGGATAACAACTGTGAGAAAAGGCTAAAAGGTCTATGTGAAGTCCAGATTTTGTGTAAAGACAGAAGAAGGCTGCATGCTAGTCTGTCACAGACTTTCATCCATGACAGGTATTGATGCATGAAATCGATGTTTGTTCTAAACTGACATCGAGTGCTAGTCTTGCAGCTTTATTTTGAACTACCTGCAGTTTATCCAGATGTTTTTTGAAGCACTTGACCAAACAGCAAATAGTATTGAAGTTGACAAAGAACTAAAGACTGTATTGCTAATTTTCTTATTTCCACATAGATAAAATGTGCATTACGCCAGATTATAGCAATGTTTCTGCTCATCTTACTCAGTCTTATTAATTTGTTTTGACCATGAAAGAGTTTTGTCTATTATAACTCACAGTAGCTTAGCCTCTTCAACTTGTTCTTTTGATTGTTTTTGTACAAAGATTTGCAACTTTTGAGTTTGTCTTACAAAATATTTAGAACCCAATACTATACATTTTGTTTTTGAAACATTCAGTTTTAACTTGTTGTCTGTTACCCACTCAGAAATAGACTGTAGCTCTTGTTGTAATACCATATTTTTTAATTCACCCATGAAAAAGCAGAAGAATGTTTTTAACACGCTGATTAATTTTGGGCTGAGGTGAACAAAACAGTTTCATTTTCCAACCCGCTGGTCTGATCA